TTTGTGCTGGACTGGTTGTCGGTGTTCAGTCGTGATCAGCTGTTAGTTGTGCGTTTGGAGGATCACGCCGCAGACCCCGCGCGCAGCATGCGTTCAGTCTTCAGGTTCCTGGGATTGGGTGAGTCCTTGTTGTGTGTGTGTTTGTGAGTTTTTTAGTGTGTGTGATGACCATGACCTGCTGTGAGCAGTAGAGGGCAGCACACACCAGCGGGTCAGAATACAGCCAGGATAGAGAGGTAAAGAGTTTGTGTGTGTGTGTGTGTGTGTGTGTGTGTGTGTGTGTGTGTGTGTGTGGTTTTAAGCACTGCACAGCAGAAGTTTGCGTCTTGATTTGAGTAGATGTTTGGATTAGACACAGGACAGAGGGTAAGGAAGTGTGTTTCTGCCGTGCGGCATGTGTGTTTATGGAACTGGCCTCAGTCGTCTGTTTCCATGACAACAAAATAATAACACACAGCCCTGGGAACGCTCACTGCAAGTCCATCGATGCCGGAACATTCCCCAAACCCTAGCAGAGCAGTCTGTGAATGTTATTTTACGGTTGTAAAAGATGCAAACCTAAAAAACATCGTGAAAGGTTACTGTAGGTTCCCGGAGTACCGTACAACCAAACGGGAACCAGAATCTAGCGTTAGGGGAACCACTGGAGGCTGTAAATCAGCTCAGACCGTGCTGAGTTTGCTGGATGTTCCTGAAAACCCCAAACACACGTTTCTACAATAACAGAACATCTCCGTCAGGCCAGAAGCATAAAACACAGAGCGAGCACATTACCCAGAGGCCTCAGTGTGTGTGATGCGGAGCTTCCTGAGCCGCTGATGCGGCATCACACACATCAGACTGCACAGCACATTTACGAGTCTTCAGAAACACACAGCAATGATGACAGATGCAGGAGTTCAAACACACACACACACACACACACACACACACACACACACACACACACACACACACACACACAGGTGAGCCCAGGACACACACATTTACAGTGCTTTTATTCTGAGCTTTTCACCTGTACTGCTGGTTAAAGTATAGTTCGCTCCTCAGCACACACACACACACACACACACACATCTCTCCAGTCTGTATACACTTTAAGTCTTCTTCCCTCAGTGAAAGACCAGCGTGTGTATGTTAATACTCTGCATCTGTATTGAACAGCTCTATTCATTATTATTCCACAGCTGCTTCACAGACGCTGCACATTATTAGATCATCGGTAATGAAGGTAATGAAATGTCGTGTGTATGGTGAGTTGATCTGCACAATCAAGGTGATCTCTGTGTATATAACATACTTAAAATGATTTGATTATTAAACTTTCACATTGAAACATGATCCATGGAAATAAATGCAAATCACACATAAGAGATACAAGCTCACATTCGGCTTTCATATATACGGTAATGTTTCATATATGTGTAATGAGAGTGAAGTATAAAGGTCACATATGCACTCTATGTCTGGGTTCTGCCACTCTGGTCTTGTAAATTCCTGTTTTGGTGGCAGAGTCTGGACACTAGCTCTGCCTTGTCCTGTTTCTGTCACTGAGTCTGTCTCTGTGTGCGCGCACGGCGTCGTGGGTGTGTGCAGGGTGTGCGCGCGGCCGCATCAAGCTCTGCGTGCCTCGGACGCGTGCGCTCTTGTACTCGTGTTAGTGATCGTCTGTCTGTAGTGGGGTGTTTCATTCCCAGCGTCTCAGTCCAGTTGGTTTCGGTTTCGGTCTGCGCTGGGATGAAGCATGCACGCTGCGTGTGTGAGTGCACGGTGAGTGCTTTCATTCATCGTGTACTCGTGTCTTGCGTTCGGTCTTCTGTTGGTGTTGTTTAGCATGTGGTGTATGTTTCCATGCACGGTGTGCTTGTGTTGTCATGAACACACAGTTAATGAGTTCTCATTGGCTGCGTGTTCTAGTCTCGTTTTACGTGAGCGCATGGCTTGTGTTGTCTTTGTGTCATGCGCTCTCCCGTCTATTGTCTCCTTGTTAACTCATTATTAGTTAATTATGTTCATCTGTTTGTGTGGTAATTTAGTCCTCTATATAATCCCCTCATGTCTGCTGTCCTGTGCCAGTTCGTTGTCGATATTTCCCTGTCATGTGATATCCAGTCCTGTTTGTCCTGCCAACCCAGCCAAGTTTGTCTGTTTGTTTTATAGTTATGTTTTCCCGCTCGGGGTGGTTTTTGTTGTCCTTTTTGTTTTATTTTAATTAATAAATACCATCTTCTGTTGCATTTGAGTCCTCGCTCCCTCATCCTTCCTGTAACCTGACACTATATGCTTTAACTATTGCTGTATTTATATATTAGGGATGCTCTGATTGATCAGCCATAGATCGGTATTGGCCGATAATCACATTGAATGACTCTATTGGTACTCGCCGATCTCCCGAACCGTTCGCAGGTGTTTGTTTATGAGTTTATAAGCAGAGGAAGATGCACAAGCGCTCCCGTATATTATATATAGCCTCAGCCGAAATAAAATGTATGAATTATTT